GCTAGGAGATTAATGTCTGGCCATTTAGAGCTCAGGCCAACTCCTTTGTTATCTGATGGCCCATTAACACATACACGCAGGAGGGGGAAGGGGAAAGGAAAGACAAAATTTCTTGCTAAAATCAGGACTATGACATTATATTATCCATTAAATTTTAGTATGGGTTAAGTTTTAGCATTATAAGATAATAGTAAACGGTAAGTGTGTGAAGGTGTTATTTTTAATGGCAATAGGTATAGGTACTTGTGTGTTATAATGTGTTAGAGGTAAGATAAGAATGCATTGTAATGTCATATAAATTGCTCAAAAACAAAAAAGGGGATTTGTGGGAGAAACATGATGAATGTGTGGGAAATTTATATTGTGTGTGGTACTTTTATAGACTTTTATAAACTTTTACATAGTTTTATAGGTACTATAAGTTATAGATGGCAAGACGGTTACGGGTGTCTTTGCTAGAACAAAAGGAACTCAGTGCCAAGAAGGTGGAGTTCAATAAAGTAAACAATTGTCTTGTTACCTGTTAATAACCAATTATAAAGGTATTTGTAATGCATGTTTACATCTAGACAGTGACCTGTAACCAATTATGTGCTTCTTGTCACAAGACCTTGTATACAGATGCTATAAAAACCCTGAGCTATCCTAATAAATCGGACATATTTTAGATCTCATAGGTCGTGTATGTATGTCTCTGAAACCTCCCCGTCAACAACTCATATAGCAGAATTTGGACGCTTGAAATACGTACATGTATCTGTGGATACCTTCTCCTCCGTTATAGTTGCTACTACCCATACAGGTGAAACTGCCCAGGATGTTATTCGCCATTGGTTGCGGGCCTTTTCTACATGTGGAGTTCCACACCAAATTAAGACTGACAATGGTCCTGCCTATGCCTCTTCCCGGGTGCAATCTTTTCTCCGAATGTAGGGGATTTCTCACGTCACCAGTATTCCTCACTCCCCCCAGGGTCAAGGTATTGTGAAATGAGCACATGGTATCCTTGTGGCAATTACAAAAACAGAAGGCAGGAATGTCTGGGGAAACCCCTGAAGCTCGCCTCACTAAGGCTACCTATGTGCTCAATTTTGTTAACATCGCAGAGGGCCAGCAGGATCCACCCATGGTCCGGCATTTTGGCTCCTTACAAAAGTCCACACCTGTCTCCTTTGGGGTGAAAGTCAGGATAAAAGATTTGCAAACAGGGCAGTGGTCTCAACCGTGCGAACCATTAACTTAGGGTAGAGGGTATGCTTGTGTTTCCACAGATGAAGGACCGCACTGGGTACCTGTTCGATATGTCCATTCTGTGCTGGGTGAACCACGTCCACAAGTTACATGAAAACCCATCTATGACTGTACTCGTCAACTGAAATAAAGAATGCTACTACCATAGACTGACAACGGATGGACTGTCTGGGCTGTTACTCTTGCCTGTGCATATAGTTGTTTTTGTATTATTGATATTGCCATGGTTTGTGTCTCCCTTGCAAGGGGCCCCGCAATGGATGACACTCATTGGCAGTTTCTTTAATACAAAAACAGGGGGAATTGTGGTGGTTTTCCCCCAGTTGGCCTGGGAGATCCTGGAAGAGTTATAGTCAAGTAGGAACTTTTGCACAAGGCAGAAATAAGCCCGGACCCGGAAGATGTAACAATATGGTTTTCCGGTAAAATATGCTGAGTCATAGTTGGTTGACATGCACAGTTAGCAGAGTTATATAACGTTATTAGTGGCCAATGGAGGGTTACTTATGTAATTTGGGGACCAATAAAGAGTTAACATGTGTAGCCTAAAAGTGTATAAAAATAGCAGTGGTGTGCAATAAAGTGTTCCAGTTTCTGGTTCCACGAGGGTTCGTGTCGTTACTCCCGCCTCGACCACGACAGTGGGGGTTTCACTGAGGGCTTAGTTCAGTCCTCTCCTTTCCTGTCTCTTGGGTTCCCGTTTACTTGGTCACTGTTGTAATAAATATTGGGTTTATTGTTGAGCTCAGCAGTGTCTTGGTTTTCAATCTTGGCATCCTTCGAACTCACCCTGTTACAATGGGTCATATGGGAATTCAGTTCCCACCGATTCAATGCCACCAGACCACAGGCCAGCCACCTCCAGGCTCTCCAACCATGGCTTTGCTTGTTTGAAAGAAGAGTCATATCCAAACATATCTGTTGAGAATGAGCCAGTTCAAAATACAGGAAAAATCACCCTCTGTCTCCTATTTACAGAAATTATTTTTATCTCCAATGGGATATTTTTGGTCTCTTCTTTAACCACATCAAGGATAGAAAGAATCTGGGCTGAGTTCAACCATGTCAGTGGGAGACCTATCCCCCAGAGTGACCACTGATAAAAATGAAGAAAATAAATAAAGGGAAGAACAAGTGAGAGCCAGCACTTTGGGGGGAGTGAGGGGTACATCAGCCAGAAAATGGGATGGCCAGGGAAGAGACAGCAGAGGTAGGATGAGAAGAAGACACCAGCACAGAATGAAGGACTACCCAATATTGCACTCCTGGGCCAGGAAGGAGAACAGAAAATGGAGGGGGGAGGGAAAGAGCAGCTCAGATCAGTTATTGCAAGGGGGAAACACCCCCCATGCATCCTCCCAGCTGCACTGCTCCCCCTCCCACATCCTCCAGTGCCTCTGGTATCCATCAATGAAACTGCCTTCAGCCTCCAGAAGGAGACGGAGACCCTGGTGGTGGCTGGATCTAAGGTTCCTGATCATCAAAGGAACCTTGTGGAGAGCTGCAAGAGTGCTTGCTTCATTACCCTTTTCAATGCTCCTTGCCATCCTTCTCTCAATCCCCCAATGTGGTTTCCCTGCCAGAATGGCTGGGAACCCCAGGCTGCCCTTCCAACTTCGAGACATTAGAGCAGGTCTACTGGCCTTGGACATCGCTACTACACCAGCATCCACTGCCCGTCACTGGTGGTCAAAGTGTTATAGGAGCCCAGTACCACCATTCACCCATGATGTCTTCTTCCTTAGCTGTGCATTCCAGTTTCTGAATCTACCAAAATGGAATTTTTTTGCTTTTATTAAAGCAATCCTTTCATCACAGAGGACCAAGAAGAGTGTACAGCCCTGGTCTGGAGAGGATGAGGGATGCTAGATTCTCTGCCCAGCATCATGGATCCCCATCTGTCCAAACTAGATAAGACCTAAGAGAAAGTGAGCTTTAGAGAATTGCTGCAAAGTGTGTTTATTTTCCTTTCTTGACTGGGTCTTTCCAGTTGGGAATTTTTAGCGCTGCACTTCTGTGTGCAGAAGGGAGATGCCAGTAAATCAGAACAAATTCAAAACAAATGCTCTTTCAAGTAGAGGCATTTGGTTTTGTTTCAGGGCTTGGGTAGCTAGCTGTATTCCTTCATGAGTCAACTTTCCTATCAGTTCCTCATTAAACTAAATGACTACATTTACATTTGGTGAGGAAAAAAGAGCAGTTAATGATAGTAGAAGGTTCTGTTTCCGAGTTTGAGGGGGAACCTTTGTTAAGGAAGACTAAAAAAAAATGCAATGCAATGAAATGCTACAATTTAATAAAATAAGTTAAAAATACATTTTAAGGGTGAACCATGTTTTCTTTTGGGGAGGAGGCTCTATTAAGGAGCTGGAGGTCCCCTTCCTGTAGCCCTTCAGGAGGCACCCAGAACAAGTCATGTTATTTCCTGCAGCCCAAGCCCCCCCCTCCTGCCTTTGGGAGCAGAGTAGCCAGATGAGATGTTATCAATAGGTTGAACCTTATAGAAAGCCCCCTTTTAAAAGTGAGTGCTTCCTCTACTTATTTCACATGGCATCCTATGGAACTGAAATCTTTCCTACCCTCTGCAACTGGTATATTTCAGAAGGATAAAAAAAGATAAAAGATCTAACAACATCCTTATTGCATTGTTTTGCTTCTTGTCTTTTTCTACAGTCTCTTTTTTTTTTTCAATTCCCTAAAGCTCAAGGCTCCAATAGTAAAAAAACCCAAAACTCAAAAAAAAAAAAAAAAAGGTGACAAGTTTCTTTGTTCCTTCTCCCCCTTTGATTAATTCTTATTAGGGTCTTTGAGCAAACAATATGCTCTCCTCTCAAATAACAGACAGGGCATATATTACACCCAAATAAAAATAAAAACAAGGCTCACTTAAAGACATCCACACCAAACGCAATTCCTGGAGAGAGGCAGGGGCAGATGCATGCACGCAGCCACCAAAAACCTACTTCTGAAATTCGTTTCAGGGCAATGAATTAATCATTAATCAAGGAGACATCAGCACAAAGGGAAGCACCTTCAAACATCAGTGAGTACATGCAGATACACAGTTTCAGATACTTTTATCCTGGTAGAGACAGAGTCCAGCCACTGAGTTGGTCTGTCCAGGGTGGAAGATGAGGTGTTGAAGACATCACACCTTGGAAGAGGGGTGGGAGTTGGACTAGATGACCGTTCAAGGTCTGTTCCAACCCAAATCATTTTTATGAAAAGCCCAAGAGGGGTAGGGAAAACACCCTCCAAATCTCCATCCCATAACAGCACCTGGAGGATGAAGGAGATGACAAACAGGAAAATGAGTAAAATCGGAGTATTTCAAGTTGGAAGGAAACCATAAGGATCATTGAGTCCAACTCCTGCAATGTCCTCTGCAAAAAAATGAGGTCATCTTTCCTCCCCGGGCACCATGACACTCACACATTAAATGTAGGATATTGGTTACCCTAACGGGAGCAAAGCCCAAGCACAGCTCTCATCCCAGAGACAAGAGATGCCACCACCACCAAGTCAAGGAGACCCTGACACTGAATCTTTTTGCATGGCACAACAGCACCTGCTCCATAGTATGAGAGGCATGCAACTGCTCCTGAAATGAAACCTAATTCTCCCTTTGAGCATGCCTTTCTCAACAACGTGCATCCCAAAAACTCCCCAGCATCACTTTGCCTTCCATTGGGACCTTTGGTCAACTCAACTCACAGCCAAGATCGAAGAAAAAAGAAGAGATGTCTTACCTGAAAGCCCCCCAGGGGCTAGACAATTAGTTCCCCCTGTTTCCGTGGAGGAAGGCACAGAGTCTGGACAATCTGATGAAGCAGAGGAAAAGAAAAAAAATCAGTATATAGGCAGTTCTTTGCAGGTTCCCAGCAATGCCATGAGCAGAAAACACATTCCAAAGAGTTTAGCAGGAATCAATTACTAATTGTCCAGCACAAAGACGGTAGTTCATCAAGAAGCATCTACCCTAACTCATTGCCTCAGTCAAGGCTGCACACTGTGCTTCATCACCACCCAACGCTGATTATAGACTGGCAAAGATTACAGACTGGCTGCCACCTCTCTGACCAAGTCACCGGGTAACAAGATCAAGGTTGTCATCACCCTGATGTAAGCAAGTTCCCAAAAATGTTTAAATGCATTAGATGCTTAAATGTATAAGTGCTTTGCGCACCCAATTTAGTCAACACCTGTAACTCACCAAAATGGGAACCAAAAAGGAAATGTCTCATCACTGCCCTTTTGCGGCAAATGGTCTACATTTACATTCCCCCGCTCAATTTTTGTCACCATCAGCTGCTGGTAGATCTTATACCCTGCTGTCACCTCCTGAGACAGGTGGGCAACTGGATCTATTCCTCCAAGCACCACCAAAGGGCAGAGTAAGATCAGTAGCCCTATTAGAGGTTTCTCCTGATGCATGAATGTATTGGAGCTCAAGGTTTGGACCTTTCCATCCCAAGCCTGCTCCTCCAAGTGACAATATCCAGAGCAACATCAATCCCCTGGTCCTACAGGCAAAGTTCAGCTTTTTGGTACCTACCATGTAGGGGAGAAGCTCAAGGACAAGCCTGAGAAGACCCGTGAAGTTCACACAACCTTCTGCTCCTCAGCAAGTTCTTAAAAACTTTATGTTTCATCAAATTTGGGCTCCCTAATGATATCACTTTGCTCACAGCAGTATCTCAAAGCAAGGGCCACCACCAGGAGAGTTGAGATACTTTTCTCCCTAATGATAATTTTTCCAGATTTCATCCCTGAAATCCAAGTGAATGAGAAATTACTGTCTGCATAACCTCATTTTATCAGAGTAAAGCCCTAACAGGAATATACAGTTTAACAGGATGTACTTAAACTGAAAACAACAGGGGAGACAGGAAATGGACTTACTTGCGAAATACTGTATACGATGCCTTGTCACGTTTTCTATGCTTTAAAAAAATATGGTTTTTTTCTTTTTTTTTTTTTAACCCTTTCTAGTCCAGACAGAAGATTCCCCCTGCCCCTCTCCTGGGATGGTTACAAGTGCTTGGGCTACAGATGCTTTCTGAACACAGGTTGGAACACCCTGCTTTGCACTGGGCTCCCTCTGCCCCCAACTATAGCTCCCTGAAGAGTCCCTGTGGGATAGAGGACATAATTTGCCCTTTCCATGTTGTCTTGCTCTAGGGATTACACACAACCAGGTCCTCTGTTAGCACATCGGACAGGATGGCAGGAGAGAATCCTATCCCAACTTAAAATGTGTAACACTAGCAATGGGGTGATGTGTTTTCATGACTTATCAGCTCCCTTCCTGTATCACATCATCCAACAGGCAATTCTCCTCATCAATGAATTACCCTCTGAAGTCACATTAGAAGATGCAGAGCTGGTGCACCTTGACCCTAGACCAACCATGATAGTCAGGTGTGGGATAAGTCCAAACGCAGGACCCTCCTGGGTTGTCTGCCCTATATGTGACTGGTTTCATCCTTGCACTCTTCCTATCACCCACAGAGCTGCCCAGGGCTCTCATTAGTAGGGGGTACTTGGGCTCATTTTATCTTCAGCACCAGAGAGGTCATAGGATCAGAGGTTTACCCAAGCATGTGAATCTCCTCCCAAAACTGCTTTCTCACAATATAAAACCATCATGGAGACATATAATTAATCCTGGTGGCCACCAGCATAATCCTGCAATGTGCCCAATAGCTCCTGAAAGCTGTCAAACCTTTAGCTCCCCTGAAAGCCAATGCCACAGGAGGGCATTCAGCTCTGCAGTGACATCTCAGTGGGTTTCCTGCACTCATACTCCAGCACCACCATGACCAGCCACCCAGGAGCATGATGGACACAGCTACTTGCAGCCTCTTGTTCCACTTAATGATGGGTCAAAATACCTGCTTGAATTATTTGGATGCACTGCAGTCCATCTCACTTCCAACACAGCTGCAAATGGCAGCTCCTGCAGGGACATCAGGGATGCTGAGCACCCACATGCCTCCAGGCTTGCAGGGTGAGCCTAGCTTCAGGCAAGCCACTGACACCCATCCCTGCAAATGTCCCCTGTAAGGAAGAAGGAAAGTCCTCTCCTGGATGAAAGTCCTCCCCATCCCTGGAAGTGTTTAAGGCTGGGTTGGACGGGACTTTGAGCAACCTGGTCTAGTGCAAGGTGTCCCTGCCCATGGCAGGGGGATTGAAACTAGATGGTCTTTAAGGTCCCTTCCAACCCAAACCATTCTAGGATTCTATGAATGAGCAAGCCACCCTGGACCTCCAGCCTTCCCACAGGTAACCTGGTCATCAAGGGCAGATCTTTCCACTCTCTGACGAGTGCACAAATACCAGATCTATCCTGCCAGCACACAATCTGATGTGGCATTTCACTGCCTGCAGCTGACCCCCACCTCTCTGTCCATCTCTGCTTTCCTCCAGCCAGGGACACAGCCTGTGTCAGCCTCCATCATCTCCAAAAAATCAATTTAATCCTTATCGTAATGGTTTAAATCTAAAAGAGGAGGGATTCAGACTAGATAGAACAGAGAAACTTTTACAAGGGTTGTGAAACACTGGCACAGGTTGCCCAGAGGTGGTAGATGCCCCACACCTGGAGACATCCAAGGTTAGTTTGGATGAGGCTCTGAGCAACCTGATCTAGTTGAAGATGTTCCTGCTCATTGCAGAGGGGTTGGACTAGATGGCCTTTAAAGGTCCCTTCCAACCCAAACCATTCTGTGATTCTATGATCATGGGTACTGGCGACCACTGCAAGCCCATACTGGTCCACGTATTCCTGTCTGTCTGTCCACACGAAACACAAGACATGGCACTAAATACTTAAATATTTTTGTAACCACTATCACACTTGATGGAAAAGCAGAAGTTTCCTCCTGAATGCATGTTCTCAGCTCTATCAGCAGATGCAGCTGCCCAAGTCTAAATGGAGGGACAATTACCTCACAAGGTCGCAGGGGAGAAGATGGCTGATGTACATCAGCCAGGGAAAAGGCTTCACACCTTCCCATCATCATCTACTATCTCTCTCCCATCTAAACAATTCTCAACATATGGCTGAGAAACTGACGCAGATGGCACTGATGTTGGGACTGGAAATCCTCCAGCCCTCCACAGAAGAAACCCTGAGCTTGCAAAATCCACCTGCAACAACAGACTTCCAGGTTCCACTTGAGCCTGTCACAGCCCAGTTAGAGTTCAGCTGCAAAATGGATTTTTCTTTCAAAAAGGAAAAAAAAAGGAGGACTTTTTGGTGAGTAACCCAGTTGTTCCTGCATTTCTGATGGTCAGCGTTAATCAATTCCTATTGGTCAATAGGAATAACTTTTCCTTTCGAAATGGCACATTCCTGTTCTGCGGCTTTTCTGTTTACACACATTTTGCTATCTTATGTCAACACTTGCTGATGAATAAATACATCACTGGACTAACTGAAAATGAGGTCCTGGCAGAGACAGATTGGGTGTCAAAACCCTGCTAACAGATTTATCCCAATATCTTTGCAGTAAACCAAAATCAAGCTTTAACCCTTCTCTCCTGCAGCTCTGAACCCCTTTACACCTCATGCCAGGATCATTGGTCAATGGAAAAAAAAGCAATAAAGGCAGAAATAGAAACTTTTGAGGAAGCACTGCAGGAATGCAATCAAAATTATGCCCATCTCACACAAACCCACAAAATTTCACAAGCCAACAGACCCTCAAAGTCTATTATGGAATAACCCTTCTGCATCCCAGCACGTGCTCAGGATGTTGGACCTACACCAGATATCCTTCCTTCATTCATGACCCTTTATCTCCTGTTTTTTTCATGTTGAGGCAAAATAGTTCATGCTTTGCAACCCAAATTTTGGTTAAACATCTTTGCTTATTTCCACAAGGCATAAAAAGACTTATCAGTGTTTCTTAAAAAATTTGCAGAGGGGGGAAAAAACAACAGTCCAGCCTCTGAAGGAGCAGTGGGCAGGATGGGACCCCACACAGTACCTAAGCAACCTCAAGGTTGGGGTTTCTCTTAGTCCCAAGAAACTGATGAGCAGCAATTTTACAGAAACTGCTCTTTTGGTAAAAACCCTAGTAACCGGTATTGATCTTCAGAAATATATCTATCTTTACCTCTGTGCACCACCATGCCCAGCCCACCTGCCATAACCATGGGACATGACCACAGAGACCACCATGTTCCAGCCATCAGTCCAGATCCACTAATCCTCGGAGACCCAGGAGCTGCTCCTTCCCAAGTTCCCCCCATTTCCGATTGTCCCCCCATCTCCTTCTTCCAGCCTGATTTATCTCACACCTGGCAAGTTTGCTGCCAACAAAGTGTTTATGCAGATGACCTCAAAAGAGTTGGTGCCAGCCTCACATGGACTGGCACCCTGACATTCAGTTACAAGTAACAGGCATGCAGAGTGCTGTTAAAAAAAGAAAAAGAAGGAAAAAAACACTTTTCAACCCCTTTTCCAATTTTTTTTCAACCTGACAAGGCAGGATTAGGTTCCTTTAAAACACATAATGATTTCTAACAAGTCCATTTATCAAGGTTCATTGGATTCCCAGGGATTAGGAAGATACTGTGCAGGTTCCCAACCTAAATCCCTATAAAATTCACCCAGGGGTGTGGAAGCAGTGCCATTTCCAACTGGAGCCAATGATTTTCCTGGTTGACTTGAGCAGTGCAGGCCTGTGTTGCACTGTAATCCCTCCTAGAGTTTCTTGCCAGAGTTTTAAAATCTTTTACTTTGTGCAGAGAGTGGTTTAGACAAATTATATTTTAATTATATCTTAATTTTTCAAGGGGTAGCAGTAGGCACAGAGGCAAGTAGCCCAAAAGCAAAATGCATGACAAAGGCAAGGAGATGTTTCCCCTAAGAAAGGGGCTGTTTTCCCTTTTATCTGTAGTCTGCATTGAAAAAAGTCCACTTACCAGTTGGTTTGAGAAAATCCATTGGATATCTGGAGTAAGGTGGAGGGGGAGACTCTGGAATTAGAAAAGTAGAGAAAATAAAGGCAGACCCATGAGAAAGAAAAAAAAAAAGAGATAGGAACTTATGATAACAATGGCATTCTTTTAGTAAAAATGTTTGTCTTAGCTCTGGGGGTTGGAAGCAGGGCAGAGGCGATGACTGTCTTGATATTTAGCTGTCAGATAAACAAAAGGGACGGTCTGGCGCCAGTGTCCCTGCTATCTGCCGCTCGGGCTGTCTGATCGTGACCTTGGTTCAGCGGAGCCGCGGCAGCGCTAGGGCCGCCTGGCCCCTAATCCCCGGCACCGCGCCGGGACGGAGTGGAGACGGCTCCGCCCGTCGTGCCGGGGCCCCCGGGGTGGGAAATCACCCTCTCCCTTAAACAGAAAAAAATACATAAACCAATGCAATGGAAAGGGGTGGGGGTTGTGTTTTGGTTTGTTGTTGGGGTTTTTTCCAGAGGAAAAAAATTTTGGTGGGCTGGGAAGCGAATGGGGCTACATCCCCCCATCCCCTCCATCTCCCCGTACCCCCGCTCCCCCCGCCACTGTACCTAGCTCGCAGAGCCGGCTGAGGTGGTGCGGGTTGCAGCAGACGAGCTCGGGGTGAGCCTTGCCGTAGGATTCACAGCAACATAACCGCTTCACTTCGGAGCAGTAGCGGAGGTCGGGCCAGCGGAACACCTTGCAGAACAGCACCGGCAGCGGGTACCAGTGCTGGCCCAGCCGGGAGTGGGCGTTGGCGGGCAGCAGCAGGCAGGGGGTCTGCGCCCCGCCGCGGGACTCCACGGCGTGCAACAACCCCTCCAGCTGGCGCTCCTTCAGCCGTTTCAACACGGCATGGGTCAGCGCCTTCAGTTCCGCCTCTGTACCCGCCGTTGCCCGCCCGCCGCGGCCCGCCTTGCCCGTGCAGCACCCATGCCCCCCGCTGAAGGCAGGCTCCCGGGCCTCGGCCACGGCTGCGCCAGGCTGGCGCGCCGCCGCCGCCTCCTTCTCCTCTCCTCCAGGCGCACGGCTCCGCCAGAGCCGACGGACGAGAACAGAGCGTTTGGTCCTGAACATACGGGACGAGAGGAGAGGGCCTCGGCTACAAAACGGGCATGTCGTCCGCCGCACATGAAGGGGCCGGGAGCCGGAACGCGGCGGCGGACAGCGGCGGGCGGCGGCGGGGTAGAGACGGACTGTGGCATGCGCCAGTCTCCGCGCTAGGGCTGCGGGTCCCGCCGCTGAGAGAAAATAAAAAATAATTAAAATAAATTTAAATGAGGGGGGAAAATAGGAGGGGGGGGGGGGACGGCGACTCGCCCCGGCTTTGCCCAAAAAAGAAAAGAAAAATAAAAAGCTTGTCTAGAGCCCGCGGTGCACGGCGCGGGGGAGGCGAGAGAAGGTTGTCGGCTCCTCGCCGCCCTGCGCGGCTGCGGAGCAAGGCCAGAGCCGCAGGAGAGCTTCGGCCTTCTAGGGGCCGTGGCGCCCATCAACCCGCCACGCTGGGGAGGGGGGACGGGGGAATGAGGAGGGAGGGATGCAGCGCAGGGCAGAATCAAAGGACAAAAAATAAAAAGCTAGCCAAAAGGGTGTCTATAAAAAAAAAAAAATTAAAAAAATACGAAACACCAACCCTAAGGTTTGGACATCGGTTTAAGCATCTGTCACAAAAGAGACGAACAAGCGCTTCCCTTTTTAAAGCCCAGGTCGTCCTGATGCGGGGTTCGGGGTGGTTCTTTTCCTCCTTCTTTCCAAAGGTTTTAATCCACATGGACACACACATGGAATATTGATTCGACTGCTATGGAAAGAGAGAAGAAAAAAAAAGGGGAGTTGTGTCCCCTCCTCCGTGCCTTCCCCAGCAGCGTGCTGCGGCGGGGAGAGGGAGCCTGGCCGGGCCGGGCCGAGCCGAGCCGCCCGCCGCTCCAGGCGGTGCTTACTTGGGTGCGGGGCTGCACACCGGTCGGCGACTCTCTCCGTGCTGCCAGCGCCTATGCCTCAGTGCTTTTTTTTTTTCCTCTCTACTCCTTCCTTCCTGCCTGTCTGCCCTCCCTCTCCTCCTCCCTTGGGTTGGGTTTTTTTTTTCCTTCCCTCCACTCGCTGCAACAAGCTGCCCTCCCCGCACGAGCGCCTCCTTACTTCCCTTGCTGCCGATGAGTGGAGCCCCGGCGGCAGAGCAAGGCGCAGCGAAAGCGGAGCCCGCGGCAGCGCGGTACCTGCTCCCCCCCAGCTACGGCGGCGGCTCGCAGTGCGCAGTGGCGCGGCCCCAGCTCCGCCCCGTCACGTGGGCGTCTAGACACCGTCTCGCTCTAGGGAAAAAAAAAAAATCTATATATTTATCTCCAACCGCCTTTCGCAATCGGCGGCCCGGGTCGCTGAAAGGTTATGGGTCCCTCCGTCCCCGTTCCCCCTCCCCAACCTCCACCCCTGCCCCGGGATGGGGAGGCCCCTCCAGGAGCACTGCGAGTGTGCCAAGCAGGTGGTCTCCCCCTTGCACCCAGTGGGGCACAGCGGAAGGAGCCCTCGGGGCCAGGGTGTGTCGGAGCCCACTGTAAGTATTGAAATATTAAACCAAATCAGTCATAAAAATTAAAAAATGTTAAAATATATATATATGGGTCTGGCCATTGAAAGAGGACACAGTACAATAATAATAATAATAATAATAATAACAATAATAATACTTTCCACTTTTACAGCACTTGTCACCAAAGGATGGGAAAATATTTCATAGAAGGTCAGTACACTTCAGTTCTCATCAAATGCAAAGCAGAAATGATCGCCACATAGCACTCTGATATTCTTGTTATGGGTACTACAGTTGTAATAATCTCTGGCACCGTGGGAGCTCCACAGATCCCCCATTCCAATTCTGGACCTGCAGAGGATGGGGAAACTGAGCCACCAAGAGACTGTGCAGCTCGTCCAGCCCCACTGTGCTCTGTGGCCGAGCTGGGAAGTCTGGTCAGACTTCCTAGCGACAGATTTGGCAGGCCAGGAGCCCCCAAGGTCCCCATCCCACATGTACTTCCATGGAGTGTGGGCAGATAAGTTGCTTTAAGGTCACTAGGTCAGTTATCACATTGGAAGGAGAAGTCAAGACTTTTAAATCACGGCTGCTATAAGCAAATCCAATTCTAAAATGATTGCACACAACTAAATGCAATACCAGCCATAAACCACATAAAAAGAACATACCATGCAGGCAGGACATCCTCAGGGCGCCTGTCCTGGAATCCCTGCCTTTGGTGTAGGCAGGAGTGCAGGGATAATTTTAGAGCCTGATCATGCAAATATTCATGTGAACAGGCCAGAGAGACTCCGAATAGGCCTGGTATTTGCAGAATCTGGATCTAAATTAGAAAGGGGCTAGATTTTATTAAATGTTAATGAGACTATACTCACTCAGGCCCAAAATCTGCTTAAAATCTGGATAAATAGTATTAAAAAAAAAAAAGAAGAAGAACATAATTTGCTGACATCAAAAAGAATAATTCAGGAAGGTTTGTTATGAAACTGGAATCTGAGGAAGGTGTTGGAGGGGGACTCTTCACCTCCAAATCATTAACAGCAGAAGATGCTCGTTAAATTCTGCAGTTGCTGGTGCTGCAGCTGAGGCAGTTTCAGAGGTGAGGTGAGCTGCGCAAAGCCCGGGGCACAGCCTTGGGGTGACAGAGGAGGAGGCCAAAGCAGAACAGCATCAGCATCTGAGTCTGCTGCATGCACAAGAAAATCCCATTGCTTTTTGAATGGTTGCTTCTGTATCCTGAAAAACAGAATTTGGGTAATATTTTTAGTTTAACATCTCGTTTAACAGCCTCCGGAGTGACCTCACATACGCCAAGGCCGATTTCCTCACTTCCTTAGTGAACTTCAATCCCTATTCCACTGTGATGCATATGGTAAATTGATAGAGAAAAAAAAGTTCCTTCACATTCCTGTATTTGCCAATGGAAGACACACTGGACATGCCCATTAATCCATGCATTACACTTTTAAAAATTTTAAAACTTTCCAGGCTGTTATAAATGACTTTTAGGGTTTTTTTCCCTTTGTGGTTCCTCTTGCCTCATCGCTGATGACTGCAATTACTTTATTGTCATAAACAGAGTGACGAAAAGTATAATGGGATGTAGGCTGTGAAGGGATAGAGAACAGCAATGGGGTCTAGGAGTTAATATAATTTTTTTGGCTCTGCCATAGGTAGTCTAGGTGACCTTGGGCGCACCCCTTTCTTTCCCTGCAGTACAGCTGGGCCACCAGCACTTACCTTTGCAATCTCTGCAGATGAAAATTACTCCAGAAGTGCTAAATATTAAATAACCAATAAAGAACTGCTTTCTAATTTTCGTGGGTTTGCCCTGGGTCAATTTGCTCTCACCCCCCACACAATTACTATAAGTTGAGAGAAGGTTTATGAAGACAAAAGAAACTTGATTAGGGAGAATAATATTCGGATTTATTATTAGCAAGATAAAAATCTAAAGAACTACATCTACACTAATTCTAATTGGGTAAAAGTACTATGTATTCACAGAAATACCCCTCCCCCCTTTGTATCAGTTCAAGGAGGAGAAGCAGTCTCATTCTCCATTTCCAGAGCTCCAGGTCTTCAAAATAACTTTGCAGCACTCAAAAGTTCTTCAAGGACGACAACTCCAATTCGTCGCAGCTGGAGCTCTTTCTCTTTCTCCCTCTCTTTTATGGTAACCTCAGGGCTGGGCCTACCCCCCTCCTGGGCTAAGACCAGAGGCTGGGGGTTTACCTAGGCCCTGTGGGGTCTTCTCTTCCATGGACTGCAAGGGGAGACTTGCCTACCATGGATCTTCACCACAGAGTCACAGGAGATAATGGCTATTGAATCCACCCGTTTCCTGTGGGGTCCCTTCCCACTGGAGAACAGTCCTTAATAGACTTCTCCGACGTGAGTCCATTTCTCAGACAACAGGTCTTCCATTCTCTGCTGTCTCTCAGGGTCACAAATCTCTAGCACCAGCATGGATCCCTCACTCAGATCCTAACATCTTACCCGAGCCATTCTGCTCCAGCGTAGGTCTCCCTCAGGGTCACAAATCTCCAGCAGGACTCCGCTTCACCTCAGGTCTCTCATAAAGTCTCAGTCTCCTTGTGCATCAACTTACTCCAGTGTAGGCTCCTCCATGAGCAGCATGGGAGTCTCCTCACCCCAACAAACTTCTACAAGTGGCAGGGTTTTATTTTTCAGTCTTTTCCCTGCTGAAGGGAGAAAGAGCGAGAGAGGGGGAAGAAGCAGCCCCCCCTTTGTACTTCTCTCTCCTGCTGCTGCCAGCTTTGGCCTTGAAAGCTGTGCTATCTCTCTCTCTGGAATTCCTTTTGCAGCACATCTTGTCCAGGTTCTTCTCTAAAGTTTTTTTTTTCCCTCTACTCTTACAGGAGAGAAGGGGGGTTTCAGTGCCACACCTGGCTCCGACCCAGGGCAGAGGGAGGAGGGAGGCCCAACCCCACTTAAGATCTACCTCTCTCTCCCTACATGGCTACCAATTTCATCTGCGCCACTGGCTTCTCTTCCATTTTCTTAAAAATGTCATTGGCAGAGGCATTACTGAAACTTTTGATTGGCTTTTTCTCTGGAAATCCACCTGGACAAAATCATCCTCAGCCCCAGGGTCTGGCTGGTGGGCAAAACCACAACGCTAATTAACCCTGCAAACTTGTTTATGTAATAGAAGGGGTTAACTTTGTTCATAAAATCTTATGTGTATGAGGGAATAAGGAACTTTTGTTATAATTCAACAAGATAAGTTTCATGAACATCCTGTTAATTAAGCAAGTGTCAGTAAAAATAATTGCAGACATCTTGCTAAACAAACAAGTATCAGTATTGGTAAAATTTACAGCTGATAAGAACTGCAGTTTTCATCTTTGACAAATCCCAGATGACCACTTAGCAATGAACCACGAACTCAAGCCTCAACGCAGCCACATTCAAAACTCGGGACTTGGAAATGTATAAAAAGGAACATTTACTACATTTTCAGTGTGTGTCTCGGGCGGGGCAATTGCCCCCCAGACCACCCAGCGCTGTTTGCTTTATTATT